TAGAAATTTTAGAAATTTTTTTTCAAAAAAATTTTCTAATATATAATTTTTTATTGATATTTTAAAAATTATTTAATTTAGTTATGATTTATAAATCTATAGTATAATAATTAGAGTTTTATAGATCAGATTACAAAATATTAATTTAATTTTAAGTAAAGATGGTTAAACTAATTTAAAAATAATATCTGATACTATAATCTGTTAAGTATTATTTTTTATAATTTAAATAATTTATTAATTGCAAATGATAAAAAAATCATAATTTATATAAGTTCAAAATTGATACAAGTTTGTGGTTTAAAATTTAAATAATAAAATAAAAAAACTAATTGGATTAACTTTCTAAGTCAGATATTTTAAAAACAAATTGAACTATATAAGTTAAATAGTTTAAAATTAATAATAAGATTTTTATATTTTATAGGTTTTATTTTAATATCATAATATAAATTATTTAAGATAATAAGTTTTTGGATATTAAAAATAAAGCAATATATAAAAAATAATTTGTATAACATATATATTATAAATACTAATTTGTATAAGTCCTAATTAAGATTTCTAATGATACTATTTTAATATTAAATTAATATTGAATTTATTATGAATTTAATATAGCAGATCATAATCCATATATTAAATTTATTATAAATTAGTATCAAATCAGTACTATTTTAGTAATTTATTTGAAATCCTAATTTTAACTAGTTACAATTATTTTGTTAAATGTTTATATAATAAAATAAGATGACTTTCATATTTAATATCTTTAAAAAAAAAGTATTTAGTTTAATTAAAATATTAAAAAATATATTAATTATTGTTTTCAATTTTTTTTATATTAAGAACTATTATTATTAATTATTTTATTATTTTATTAAAATCTAGACTATTTTTTTAATAATATAATTAAAATATATATTTAATTTTTTTTTGTATTTTATTTTTAAAATTAATATAGTTTTTTTTTTTTGTTAACTCAAATAATATCACAAATATAAAAAATCAATAGATTGTAATTAAAAAATTTTAATTGTTATTTTTTATTATTGTATTATTATCATATTATTGAAAATTTTTTATTAAAATAGTTAATAAATTTAAAAAGAATTTAATAAAAAAAGATATAATATTAATAACTATTTTTATATTTTATATACTTAAAGTTTAGACTATATCAAATAAAATATAATATCTCAAAAAATGATTTTGTATTGTTTTAACTATACATGTTATCCAATAAAAATAATATTCAAAATAAAGAAAAAAAATTTTTTATATTATATTTTAAATTAAAGAAATTAATATTAATTTTACTATTTGGATAATTGTTTTTAAATGTGATGAAAATAAAATATGTTTTTCGATCTTAAACAATATATATACAGTGTAATTTTAAGGGGCACAATTATAGTGTCCAAAAAAATTCTTGTTTATCTTCAAAGATAATTATTCATTTATACAATTTATAATATTATTTATATAAGAATTATTATTGTTTTAAAACATATATTTGAAAATTAATTTATTATATTAGCTTTAATATATTATTATAATAATAAATGTAATATAGTTTACAATATAAATAGCTTATGTTCTTAATATTTTGTTTACTATATATTCGTAAAGAATAATATCCAGTACTTGTTTCTGATTTTAGAATAGATAAAAAAAACAATTGTTGTATTTAATATGTTAAATAAAAATTTTTATTTTAACAAAAAAAAAAAATCAATACTTAGAAAAAGGCTAATAATTTTATTTAAACAAAGTATCAATATATCATTTTTAAATGATTGTATAATTGGAATAACGATAATAAATCTAGTATGAATTTATTAAATTTAAATTAGTCCGATAATAAATTATTAAAACACAAATTCTTTGCCTCAAGTAGTCAAAATGATTAATAATAGGCGTATAGAAAAGGAAAATATTGTTGTGATCAGGGTTGGCAATACTTTTAGGCAGGGGTTCAGATAAGTTTACGGGGGAGTAAGGCGTGGATTTGGAGAGTTTGTGTGGTTTGGGGGGAATTGATTAGACAATGCGAAGTTTCCATTTGCTTTATTAACATCACTTAATAGTATACTCCTTTACATCAACACAAGAAAAAAATAATAATGAAAATAACGAGGTTGAGAGTCGATTTCCCTTTTGGTACCCTCCTTAATGCGCGATCGTTGGGACGTCACTAGCTTCAATCGCTTTTTCCCTATAACAATATAAAATATTTGTATGAAAAGATTAATTGATATCACATGTGAGAATCATTATTATTTTAATAATGACATTCGGAAATAAAATCGTTTATACATTGGATACCTTTATAAAAAATATTTGTGTATTGCACATGCGTGAAAAGCAGTTTAATACATTGTTGAACAATTTTACTTGCTCTTGTTATGAATGAGAAAACAATATTCTGTTGACCTTCAATAGGAGATCCTATGTATTAAACAGAGAAAAACCTATAAAATCATCACAGTGAATAAGAATTTCGGTAAGTTCGCTATTCAAACTCACTGTGTTAGTAATTTAAAAGGGTACACGATGGTTATTAAAGGATTAATCGCCTTGTTCGCTTTTGCTGCCTTTATATGTGTCGACCATCGTGCATTCAGCAACCCGATATCTACCCTTTCCTATGCACCTTCCAAAAAAATTTTTGACCTCTGCTTAAAAAAAGAAATATTTGCTCCTGATGGGTACACTCGCAATATCTGGACAATAAATGGAACATTTCCAGGTCCCACTTTAAGAGTTACTAAGGGTGATAGTGTAAAATTGAGAATTTATAATGAATTAAACGAAGAAACTGCCATCCATGGTCATGGATTCTTCCAGCGAGGCACAAATTGGTATGATGGCGTGCCAGGGCAAACTCAATGTCCTATACCCGCGCATTCGTATTTTGAATATAATTTCAGCATTCCTGATCAAAGTGGAACGTATTGGTAGTAAGTAGACACACCTCGGTGGGTGATTTATCTCATGAATAAATGTAAAATTAATTATAATCGTTCATTTTTTAACCATTTTCTTTATTTCCAAAGTCATTCGCACTTCCAAACTCAATATGTGGATGGAATGATTGCTGCTTTCATAGTAGACGACCCCAATGATCCCTATCTTAGTAAATATGATGAAGAATATGTCGTTATTTTACAGGACTTTTATCACACCGAAGCAAGTGAACTTTTGGCTTCCTATTTGAAGTCCACGGATGGTGATGAGCCTGTACCAGATTGTGGGCTTATTAATGGTCTAGGAAGGTATAACTGTTCTAGGGCTACTGATGGCAAATGTAAAGATAATTCACCATTGGCTAAGTTTAAGTTCGAATCTGGAAAAGTTTATCGCTTAAGGATTATCAACGCAGGGTACATATGTTATAGATTAAGTGAGGTTAAAAAAAATACTTGCTAAAATGATGCCATTATTATTCTTACATCTAGTGTCTTCGCTGGATTCTTTTTTTCAATTGATCAACATGAACTTGAGTTGATAGAAGTGGATGGAACCTACGTGAAACCTCAGAAAATTCACCGACTTCCAATAAATGTAGCCCAACGCTATTCTGTCTTGGTCCGTGCCGATAAATCTCCATCCTCATACTGGATGAGATCTGAATTTATGGAGGATTGTCTCCCCGACTCGGCTAATGAAACTCTCGATGATACTGTTAAAGCCATTGTTATATATGATTCCTATCCAGACACACCCGAACCAGACACTACTGCTTGGAAAGATAATCTAATAGAATGTATCGACTTGGATCCGAGCTTAATGAAACCGTGCTTCCCACAGAAAATCCCAGATTCAGATAAAACGTTTGAATTTACAATAGAATTTAACAATAACACCGGTTATGATAGGGCATACATTAATAACTCATCATACGCGATTAAACCGTATGACCCTACCTTACTGGAAATTTTTAATGGAAATAAGGAATTTCCCGTTGACGCAAATGTTTATTATATTGAGAAGAAGCAAGTAGTCGATATATACTTAATCAGTTGAGTATTATATAGTAAAGCTTTAATACGTTTATTATAATAACTCTATTAACAAGTATTTAATAGACACCGATGATGGCGAACATCCATTCCACTTGGTAAGTTCTAATGATTTACATCATTCGTAGGCTCCACACAATATTTAGATCGCGCATTAATTTTCTATTTTATTTGATTTTTTTGTAATTTAAAAAGCACGGTCATAAATTTTGGATATTGGCAACAGGTAATGGCACAGAAGTCAATAAGTCAGAATTTAACACCGTGGATCCTTTACCAAGGGACACTACCACTGTACCTGCTTCAGGGTAACTATCCTTTTTTTTATATATTAAATGAATGAAATAATGATTTAACTGAGTCTTTCATGATCCTTTTTAATAAATAGGTGGCTCGCGATAAGATTTATAGCTGACAACCCTGGCGTGTGGGCATTCCACTGTCACATAGAGGTAAATATCAAGCTTACAAAGATCATTCGCCTTGACATTGTCTAACCGGGGGTTTTTTTTTCCTATGCATGGTACAGTGGCATTTACAAGTAGGATTGGTAGTCCAATTCGTAGAATTACCTGATGAGATTAAGAAACTGAGTCCACCGTCGGATTGGAGAAGTTTGTGCCCTAAAAAATAGAATTCAATAGAATCTTTAAGCATCTTTATGAAAAACTTTACGAATAATTAAATGTTTGGTCCGATAATTTTTTGTATTATTACTAAATTCTCCTCATATGGATTACAATCATTAATCATGTTAATTAATTAATAAATAAAATTAACGCCGCAAAATTATTTACTTGTTACACATCTCCATACTACAATGAGGACTGAGTTACACACATATTATAAATGTTGGACGTATTTCAAGTGTTATGGTTGCTTGCATTATACGTAACAAAGAAGCCGACAGTCATACACCGTACAAAGAAATGAATCCTAAATCAAACCAGCCTCGTTCCCTACCTCCAAACACTATTTCACAAAATGAATATCAAGATTGTCTATCATGCAAGCTGGTAGGTTCGGCGACATTCGTCGGATTAGGTTCTTATTCATTTCACCTGGCAAAGAAGTCATCCAATTTTGGAAAAGTTGGATTGGGAATGCTCGGTCTTTGTGAGTACCTACCTGATTCATTACTCAATTTGAGCGGAGAGACTTATGAAATATCCAAAATTCCAGTAGGCATATCGGCGGGAGTTGTCCGACTTCTGAAATAAATTATTACAGATTATCGATATTCAATCTATAGTGTGTCACGTTAATGCAGAACAGTATAAGGTTCCCCGCGCAAGTCGTATACGTAAAATGTTTCTGCACAAAATGCATTGATCGGTGTCACGTAGTGTAATGCGATAAATATAATCTGTACGAGTGCTACCCATATGATTGCTGCGAAACAAGAACACATAAAGTGAATAAATAATAATAAATCAAATGTTCATTTCTAGTTTTTCGTTCGGCAACACTCGGATTAATGATTAAAGATTAAATGATAAGTCCTATTTCATGATTACCATATATGCGTTTAAAAACACTCGAATGTTTAGATGCATGAATAAATTTGATGTTTCATCATTAAAAAAAATAAATAAATTATTATTATATCATTCCTTTATATACCATATGCTGACGCATCCAAGCACACGATAAATTATTGATAACCATAGTGTACCCGTACTTTTCAAACATTGAGCTTGATCTTGTTTGTTAAAATACCAAAATTTTTTGGATAAAAATAATTTTTACTTAATTAATTATATTTCAATGATTATTTAAAAGAAATTAAATAAAAAATTATTTATGTATATTTGAGACTATAAAGAACAAGTTTACTTAATAACTATTTATATAATATATTGTTAAAATATTGCTAAAAATTTTTTTGATTTTAAAAACTTTATAAAAAACTAATAATAAAAAATTAATAAAATTAGTTTTATATTATGAAATTATTGAATTAAGATAAATAAATTAATAAAATATCAATTTTATAATTTTTTTTATAAAATCAATATGTAATTTTTAAAGAATTTATTGAAAAAATCTGTAAAATTAATTTTATAAAATAAAAAAATATGAAATTTAAATGATATAATTTCTATATTATAAAAAACACTTGATAACAATTTTTTATATCAAATAATGTTTTTGAATTTTTTATTGATTTTTTAAAAAATTTTGTCATAATAAAAATAAAATATTTCTAATCAGAATTTATATATAAACTTATATACAGTCGGAAACAAAAAAAAACACCTTTTTTTCAATTAATATTTTTAATTATAATTCAATAAATAATTATTTAAATTTTATGAAATTTTACAAAAACATTCT